TTATTAAGGATAGGCTTATTTAATAAATAGTTCTAAACACAATATATCCTTGAACAGCAAAAGTAAACAGTGAGGGTCCACTTACACACAGGTTTATTTTTCAAAGTTTGCAAAATTTGAAACGCACAGATGAACTGTGTAGCCTAAAAATATTTTTACAATGAAAAAAAATAGATACATCATGAATGCATAAAGTATATAAAATGTCTAGTTTATCATTTACTACAATAACATATATGTAAATCTATCATAAAAAGTTAAAATTTATCAAAAGTTATACACATAAACACAGACCATACATGATGCCTTTTGCAATTGAAAAAACATGTAAACAAACATACAGATACAGTATTAAATTACAAGCGTAAATTAATGGTAATACAGAATATACCTCTGTGATAATTTCATAACCACCTCCTGGCTATTCCAGTGAACACAAGTGTTTTGAGTATATGTTTAAAAATGCCCTCTGGAGTTGATCATCTCCACTTGAACAGTTCATCTCGCCAGTAAATTATACATCACAATAGAAAGTAATCTCTTGTGGTTCTTGCAATTTTTTTTTGCCATGCATAATACATATAGCATACAAAATATGTGCTAATTGGCTGTTTGTGTTATTGGTTAGGCTTCCAGTCAACAGCAGTCTATTAGTAGTTAAGTCGACTGCCTGAGTGCATTTGAGGATGGATAAAAACGGGAAGGTTCTGTGGGGAGTGAACACTTGAAAAGAAAGATTTAACACGGTGATTTCTTCTTTCTTCTAGCTTTGGACCCCAAAGCCATCCACAGTTGGTGCATCATGGAGTAGGTAAGACTGCAACAGTCTTTGCAGTGGAAGGACATGAGATCAGTGTAGCAGGAGGAAAGTAAAGAGGGAGGACAAGAAGAGAGAGACTAAGGATAGAGCTAGATAGAGATGGGGATGGAGCTGGAGAGAAAGAGAATATGAACGTGCATATGCCTGAATTGTATATTTTTCTCTGCCTTAATCTCTGATGGGTTCTGAACCATGGTTGGTAAGCCAGGTTGCAAGCAGCTGGATTAAGGATAAAAGAACTGAAATGAGATTTGAGCTGCTGCTGGAGATGTTTTGCAGTTTAAGTCTATACAAATTTTAATTGCCTGACAAAATGAACAAATAGACTAAAACAACATTTTTGAGTCATTTACCAGAATCCAGAGTCTCTATAACATAACATATACAATGTCTAAGATGTGACCCATAATAGCAGAGAAGCAGTAAATTGTAAAACATGCTCAAGATATGGAGAGGAAAAAGGTAACAGAGTCCAGCTGTGAAATGACCCAGGTGGAAGCAGCCAGAAAAGAGTATTATGGAGGCTGTCAAGTGGTGCTCAGTGATGTAAAGGAGCATATACATAGAATCAAAGAAAACACAATTATCTATAAAGAACAATGTGCAATTTCTTTTTTTGAGGGGGTACCGGGGATTGAACTCAGTTACTGAGCCACATCCCCAGCCCTATTTTATATATTATTTAGAGACAGGGTCTCACTGAGTTCCTGGCTTTGAACTCGTGATCCTCCTGTCTCAGCCTCCCGAGCCTCTGGGATTACAGGCATGCATGCCCTTACACCTGACTACAATATGTGGTTTCTAAAACTGAAATATGTAACTCCTGAATTAAATAATTCACTGAATGGGCTTAACAGCAGAATGGGGGGACAGAAAAACAAATCTTTGAATATGAAGACAGGTCATTAAAAATGATCTTATGTGAAAAATGGATAACTGAAGTGGTGGAACAAAAATGATAGACTTGGGGACTGGGAGCCAGTATCAAAAATTTCAACACACAGGTATATTTGTTTCAAGAAGGAGAGAAGAAAGAGAAGGGGATGGAAAAAGCATTTGAATGGAGAGTTGGTATTTAGTCAGAACTCATGGTCAATTGAAACTGAGAATGAGTCCTGTCACTAATGAGACTTCACGTGCTTGTGCTGTCACCTTCCTACAACTATACCCTAGAGGAGACAATGCTCACCTTCCAGAGAGCAGGGACACAGAACAGGCATAGCTGTGTCACCTCATAGAAGTCCTCTTGGTCAATTTGTCAGGCTGCTGGTATGAACCATGCCATGAGGAGGCCAAGCCTCCTGGGAGGACCCCTTCACTGTGGGTTGGTACTCAAAGATGGCACTGTGAAAATGCAAAAGCAAAGTCTTAGCAAGTCCAGCTGGAGTAGTTTAATATAATCTATGAAGAGGTGTAGAGGGATTCAAGAAGAGTCACTTAGTCCACCATTCAGAGAAGTCCAAATGCCCTGGGCTTTATAAAAAGTTTATATATACATGGATCAGAGAGGGAAATAAACTTCCAAGGACTTCTTTTCCTAATGAATTTCCATCTGCGGGTCTGCCTTCCTTAGCAATGCCATCAACATCACATGGATTATAAAACATCATCAAGACCAAATGAAAATCATCTTGAGTAAAGATAAGTGGAACTTATTTTATAGAGGTCATTAGTATTCATTAAGACATGTGAATATAATTTCTTTTTATTTACTCTGCTGTCCTTTTTTTCTTTTTATGACTATAATAGAATTATAAAGATAAATATTTTCATACATTTAATTTCAGTCTTTCTCTCTGCACCCTATCTTAATTGAAGTCCTTAAGCTCTCTTATCATTTATGAAAACTTGAAATTTCAGAAACCTCATCCTAGAGGTTGGGGATTGACTGCAATATTCTCGGACTTCATTTGGAAGTATAATGCTTCTTAAAAATAAAACCATGGAGGATAGAGGGAAGAAACAGACCTTAATTTGTTGGAATGCTTAACCACGTCACCAGGGCTCCTACCACCTTGTTGTGACACATATGGGTAGCAGATCATCAGTAACTGCACACATGGGAGCTTGTCAAAACTGCAAAATCCTGCACCCAACTATAGAATATGTATTTGAATACATTCCTTGGGTGATTATTATGAACATTAAACTTTTAAGGATGCTGCCCTAATGCAAGTTTACCCTTCTCCTTTTGTTTAAAGTATACTCTTTAGAGTAATTTTAGTTTTACATCCTCTTCAGTGTTAAGTGATTCTCTTACATACAAGTCGTTTTGTTGTGTGGTCCTAGCATATCAGTAATCAACAATATGGAGAATCAGCAAACAGACAGTATAAGCAACACAATTTAGGAAATCTGAGGGACATAGGAAATGTACTCTCATGTCTTGTGTGAGTTGATATCTAAAAGGGTGGACGCTTCTCCATGTCTGCTTTTGAGGTATTAACTAGGAATATCCTATTAACTGATATAAAAGATAAGGTCAAGGCAGAAATGGATGAGGTAGTGATTATATAGGTAGGGGAGCTGGCCAAGAAGGACCCCTTCAAACATTTCTATTCCAAGAAACTTGTTATATAAGTTGAAGACTATTTTTCTTTTAAATGGTTGAATTAAAAAAAATAGTCTGACAGCAATCTGAGCTTCTCTTGATCTTACTATTGTTGGTGCTTTCCACTAATGAAGTCTTCTCATGTTCACTCACATAAAATTCTTTTCAAAAGAGAAATCAAACAAACTTTAACATGCACACAGCACTGATTAAAATGGATCTGGTTACTGACTTTGGATACAGAAGTACTACTAATGCATAACTAGGTCAATAATCATAACCCAGACTTCCAAAATGCGAGGCAGAACTTGTATTTTGGTGCTGCAGACAATCAATGCCCTGCTTTGATTCTTGCACTCTCTTTCATTAATTCTGGGCCAACACATGGCCCACTCTAATTAGTCTGTCTTTAATGGAGGCAGTAACTGAATGTCAACACCAGGGTAGGTCACTAAATGCCACTTGTGCTGTTAAAAACCAAGGAAACAGCGGGGAGAGAGCACACCAAAGGTGGTAGGAAACACGGAGCAGTAAGAACATGGGGTGGGGAAGTGCTGCTAATGAATGATAATGAAACGAAAGAGACCAAAGTCTATTCCAGCTCTGAAGTTAACAATAATCTTATTTTCCATTTAATGAGGTTAGGGTGGTCTTCAGGGGAAAGGTAAGACTGTGATGTTACAAGCAAAATGATGCAGGTTAGAGGGAGACTAAGTGAGGGCTTCCTTGTAATAGAGTAAATTATGAGTAAATATAATAGAAAACAAAAACTATGTTCAAGATTTTGTTTAGCTTGGTATTTTAGCCTTTTTTAACCACAGGATGTTTTCAGAACAGTGTTTCAGCTATGATTGGACAAATGCTTGTTGCATGCTCTTTGAGTACCTTGAGTAGTATTTGGGAGATACAATGTATTCTTCCATATTTGATTAATTTTTGTCTCTCACAATGTCCCAGTCTATGCCTAATGTCATTTTTTTTTTCACATTTTATAGGCAAAAGAGCTGAAGTAAGTAATCGGGAGAACATGTTTACAAAGTGAACTACACCTTGTAGACAATGTCTTGTGTATTTGTAGTGGTTTCTGATTACTACTGAAGTTTTATAGTTATGTGCATTCTCTTACTCTCAATAAGATACTTTCAAATAGAAAAAAAAGATGCAGAGCATCCCATCCAGCCTATGTCTAGCAATGTTCTATATAGTAGGTTTTCAGTTGTACAGGGAAAACCAATTGTTTTTCTCTATACATACACTCAATGTTTCTGTGCCCAGATGTGTGTATATGTGCATGTGTGTGTGCATGTGTGTGTGTGTGTGTGTATGTGTGTGTGTGTTTTGTATGTTTCCTCACACCAACCAATTTTCCAAAACCAGATGTGTCCTGGAATTGAACTCAATAATAATAGCTGGATTTAAAGCAAGCCCCACAATTTAAAGGCTCAATTCCACAAGAATACCCCCAACTTCAGACACCAATCTTAGGGAGTAAGTCCCAGGTTACCCACGACTTTCATCCAACTTGTCTACAAATCAGATACGCACACTTCCTTACCCAGTTTGAGTACTTTCTGGTAGGACTAGGATGGTTCAAAGAATACAGAGAAACACTCAGATTTACTAGTTTATTACAAAGGATACAGATGAAAGCCACACAAAGAGGTACAAAGCAGGGAGGGTGGGTAGGTTCCCAAGCACAGAGGTTCTGTCCTGATAGAGTTAGGGTGCACCACCTTTTTGGAATGTGGATGTGTTCACCAACTCAGAAGGTTCCAAAATCCATTTTTAGAGATATTATGGAGACTTCATCACATTGGTATGCTTGATTAATAACTCAATCTCCAGCCCCTTTCCCCTGCCTGGAAGATAAAGGCAGGTTGAAAGTTCCAAGCTTCTAATCATGACTTTGTATTTTTGGTTACTAGAACCTTTCCAAAATTTTACCAAGAGTAAACTCATTAGAATAAAAAATGCCCTATCACCCTGAAGATTCTAAGGAATTTAGGAGCTCTGTGTCAGGAACAAGAGACAAAGAATATATATATATATATATATATATATATATATATATATATTACAGCTCAAAATCATATCAGTAAATGTGTTTGAAAATTTTTATACTTTTCAGTGTTCATTTTAATTATGTAAGTATTATTTTAGGATTTTTTTTGCAACAATAATTTTCTTTAAGTACTAAATCTTTGAATTCCAACATTAGCTCTACAGATTATGTAGGATTTCTTATACAATATACTTATAGACTAATATTATTGTATTAATTTGGAGGCTTTCCAATATAGATTAGATGGTTTTAGATAAGAGATCATAACAAAATATAATAAATAGTAAATCTTTTCATGATTTTTCCTGCATATTTTCAGGACTGATGCTTAATGTAGTGAAATAAAGCTTCCTTGAATGTCTTAGAATTAAATAGCTACACTGTGAGGATTTTAATAATACCCAATTTTTTTATTTACTTAAAACAGATAAACAGACTCAATGTTTAGAAATGTACCTTCAAGCAGATGAACAAACTCTAAGATTAGAATTGTTTTTGAGCCTTTTAATAAATACCATCATAATTTTGCATACAATTGAAAGAGTAGTCTTTAAAAAATTTTGCCTAGCACATAGAAAAAGTTCAATAAAAGTTAGTCAAATGAATAAAACTCTAAATATCTCCTTTATTTAGCTTTGTAAATTGGACAAAAGTTGGATTATAGTCCTCTTTTGCACATAAAAAGTTGAAACACTAAATAAACAAGAAATTATGCACAAAGATCCTATAATGTGGTTATTTGTTCCTGAAGTGATCTCAATCTAATATGCAAAGAAGAAAAGACCATCAAGAATTATAGAAATAGCATGATTCAGGCTGTAGTGGGTAACTAGCATCGATGGACTTAATTCATGTCTCTGCGTCCACCCTCTTTTTTAGAATTGCCTAATCCTGTCCCATTCTGACCCTAGGTTGGCCTTGTGATTTCTCCAGCTGAGAGAATGTGGTGGAAGTAAGAAGGAAGTGGTTCTAAGTCTATGTCTCAGGAATCTTCCTCCTTTCTCCTGGGTTCTGTTTTTCTTGTTCATTTCAATGCTCTGGCCATACTGTATGAACATACCTATACACCTGGAGGAGGAGATACATGGAGAATAGCTAATGTGGCTCAAATGAAAGCTAGTCAATGCCCAGAAGTAGATCTGCCTAGACAAGCTGAAGTTTGCTCCAGACTTATAAAATCACCTCAAATCAGAAGAGTTTACCAGCTAAGATTTTTTCAGCTAGTAGAATCATAAATTCAAAGACTGATTGCTGTTTAAGCCTCTAAATGTGTGTTCTGCTCCAAGAATGGGATCCTAGTTAGAATAAGTTTTACTCCATATATTTATAATATGTCAAAATATGCTCTACTGCCATGTATATCTAAAAATAAAAAACAAAAAAATAGAAGTGTGTTGTGTTACACAGTAGGAGCTAACTGTTACATGAAGGTAGAATCTATAGATATTGGATATGCTTGTTGATGTTTCTAAAAGCTAATTTTCTAATACATAAACACACTATCCTTAACAGATTGTTATGAGCCTTAAATTTGTGCACTAAAAGTTGCTTTAGATATACTTAGTAGAGACTACAGTTACTACTACTATTATTATATTACTACTACTATGGCTACTTCTATTACTATGAACCAAGAATTAAAATAATGATATTTAGCCTGCTTTGGAAACACAGAGAAGGTATCCTGTCTTTTGAATGTTACAGAAGGTTGAAGAGAGGTGGTCTTATATGAGCTGAACCTTTGGGCATGAAAAAGGGTTGAAAAATTCTTGCAAAAGAAAGGACTCTGTTGATAATGGAGACAAAAATAATGGGATGAGGATAATGTTTCAGGTGAAGAAGCATTTCAGAAACAATAGTTTATTTGATATTCACAGCTGCCTTTCTCAGCAAAAAAATTTATTCTAAATTTTATTATTTAGAAATGAATAATAGTTTCTATTAGTCATTCAGTTTGAAAATTATGAAGCTGCCCTTGAATCTCAGCATTCTGACTCCAACAAAGGATGGTTTCCCACATATTGCAAAGCTTCTTATATCATATTGTTTTCCTAAATCTATTATAAGTATTGAAAGTTTATAAAGGAAGCATTTATGTGATTGTCAGCATGCTTATGAAAATGTATCCTTTAGCTTAGAATGCTTCTTCAGGCTTTTCTAAATATTTGATAGTTAAGCCGAAAAGTTGTCACTGTAATTAGGTTAATATTGAGAATTTATATATCTCTCACTTCATATAGTGAATGTGTGGGAGGGGACGAGGTAGGAGTAGGAGAGAGTGAATACATCCCATAATAACAGCAGTCTTCTGTTCCAGCGTGTTAAAATTTTCCAATTCTAAGAACAAATTGCTTAAAGTAGTGTGAGTGTAGAATGGTTGGAGTTTCTTTATTTTCTTTAATTGAAAATATGAAGGAATTTGAATTATTTTCTTACGATTCAAGGAAAGACTTGATTTCATTTTTGATACCTAGGAAAAGCTTTCTGCTGTGTGGTAAAGATCTGTTAATGATTTGGGATGCATTCTGTGACTAAAAACCAAGTAAAAGGGTATATTTGCAGCATATCAATATCTTTTTTTAAATGTAAACTTCTTGTTTTTATTATACCTTTATTCCATTCATTTATTTTTGTGTGGTGCTGAGGATCGAACGCAGGACCCCGTGCATGCTAGGCGAGCACCTACCACTGAGCCACAATCCCAGCCCCTATCAACATCTTTTTAAAGGTTTAAACCACATGGAAGCATAAAGTCCAGGTTTTGATGTCATTAGTTTTACTGTAAATCACATTTAATGTGGTTTTCTAGCTAAAAAGAAAAAAGAGTCCATTTTACTGTTACTTTAAATTGTACTGGTAATTGTTCCAGGCTTATAGAGATCACTACGTCACTATGTTTAAAAGAGTCTCCAGCTTAACCCACTTTCATTAGTCCATTTTCTGTTACTATAACAGAATGTCCAAGATTGGGCCATTTATAAAGAAAAGGGGCTTATTTTGGCTCCTGGTTCTAGAGGCAGTGAAGTCCAAGTTTGGATGGTTTCATCTGATGAGGGATTCAAGCCGCATCAATTTATGGAAGAAAGTGCAAGGATAAGCTGGTACATGAGGAGGAAAAGAGAACATGCCTGTGCCCAGCACCTTGCCCTAGGCCCCACCTCCCTAATCTCCCTTATTAAGACACCCATCATATAGGATTAGGGCTTACCCTAGAAGCCTCATTTTAAGTTATTATTTTTTTTAAAAAAAGATCTACTTCAAATAATGCCACACTTTGAGGAACTGGGTGGGGCTTCAACATCCAAATTTCAAGGGGGCACAAATCAACTCATAACAACTTTAAATTTAGCTCATGAGGTGATTGTTTGTAGCTTGTTCAATGTTTGGGGGCCTACAAGTATAACTGGGAGTCTTCTAGATAATCTTTATGAAGAACAGACTTTATTAAAGACTATAAGGCAGTATGATAATTTTATATACACATACATATATAAATATTGTCTATTTATCTATTGTCTTTATTTAAAACTCATTAGTAAGCACGCAGTTGCCTAGAATTTAGATTAACACATGTTTTTTTTTTCCAGTAAAGACTATTTTATCACTGACATTGTTCAGAAATGCTGGCCCAGAGTGATAATTAAAAGCAGACCAATTTTACTCAGTTTTTATTATTTTTAAGTTTTCTACAATGGAAAAATCAGTACAGACTGCTCCAACAGGGATCTCTTTGGTTGTGCCTCTGTCACAGAATTTTATATTTATGCTTTATGAATATTCTATTTTTGTGTTACACTTTCAATATTAAGAAATAAAGTAGCAACTTTGCAGCTCAATATATCAGGATCAGAATCCTTCATATCTACTAACAGTGCCATTCTGGGCTCATCTTTATGCTTCAGCTTCTCATCTATAAAATGAGTATTATACAATGTACTTCAGAAATCCACTCTAGAGATTAAATATAATCATATATGTAAAACCCTTAGCCAAGTACCAGGCATATAATAAAATGCCCACCCGTGTGTGAATCACATGCAGAATTTCAGTTATTGTCATTGCCACCTGTTTTCCTCCATTCCCAAATCTTCAGCTGTCTGTGAGGAGTGACAATCTTAGATGAAAGAATTAACTTTCTAGCTATGATGTGACAAACACTGTTGGTGATAGATGACTTGTGTTCATGGAATTGTGGGAGTAGCCAAGTAGGAAAAAGCATAGCATTGTGCTTTATCAGGTATCCTACTTTATTAGGTAGGAAATTGTGGGAAGTCGGCTCTGGATTCTGCTAAATGAACAATGAAAAGACAGGACCAACACACAGGGCAGTGGTTCTCCCTTGAGGTTGCCTTTCCCTGTGTAGAAGACATTGAGCTATGTATAGAGACACTTTTGTCTTTCAAAACTGTGAGCATGCTACAAGTAGAGAGCAACAATATTGCCAAGCATCCTGTAATACTCAACAGAGAATCATCCTGGCCAACACATCTATAGTACTGAAACTGAGAAAGCCTGCCATTAGATATAAAATATGGAGATAATAAAATATTCTTGGGTAAATGTTTATATTGTATTTTATTATTATTATTTTAAAAGCTGCCATCATAAGTTGTTTGACCAAATTCAGACAGATCCTATATTCACAAACTATGAGTCAAAAACCAATAGTTTTAAATTCACATCTCTACCTGGATGCCCACGACAGGACTGCTCAAGCAGATGACGCCTACAGTGAGATGATAGCACAGTCATATTGGTGGGAAGACTAAGGCTGTGTTCTACAAGATGCTGTCATGGGAAGTAGGCATCATGCAATCCCAAAGCAGACCAGGAGAGAGAACCCTATCATAGCAAAAGTAGTGGTACTTAGTTTCAAAAATGAGAAGTCCTAGGCTCTGATGGACTAGAACATGGCTAAGATGGCATAGCCAGGAAGTTGTAGAGCTAGGATCCCAACTTAGGTCAGTCTGATTGGAATGGAGCCTCAACAAGGTGATGCCTTATGGTAATGGGAGACATGACCAGGTGCAAGAGGGGGAGAGTAGAGCTGAGTGGGGAGAGTAGGTAGGGTGGATGTCTGCTAAGAGGCAGCAATGAATGTGCCCATAGCCGTACCTGTGGGGTATAGGTGCCAGAAAATCATAACCCTTGGGAGAGTTTTGGGAGTGTTTTAACTACCTGTGAAGAGTTCAGCTCTGTGATTATGAAGACTTACTCAACCATCACTCAGCATTTTAGTTATTTAAATACCCATGTGCAATGATATGACGGTGAGCTGACAAACCCACTTTCCCATGATTATTCCAGAAGAAAGTGACATCAGATGCAGTGACCAGCTCTCAGGAGTTGTGAACTGAGGACAGGGAGGTGGGGGACTGGTCTAAAAAAATCTAAGCAAGAGTCAGTAGCAGACGGGGTTGTGGTGAATGAGAAGAGATTCTGGGATGCAGCCTCAGTGGCTGGTGAGGTTGGAAGGATGCAGTAAGATCTTTAGAAGGAATTTTCAACTTGAAAATTTCTCCATAGGAGGTGTGACACATGACCCGTGTGGAAAGCAGTGTGACAGACACTGGATTGTGAGCTCTCCATCCTTATTACCATGGCATCTTCTGAAATCTGGTGCACTACAACACAGCCTCCTGAGAGGCTCGGGGAAAAGTAAAAGGGGGTGACTTTCCTGCTCTGGTTTGTGTCAGCCCCAGATGGAAGAAAATGTGGGTGGATGAATAATTCAAGGAGAAGCAGAAATCAACTAGAGGGAAAAAGAGAGTTTATGGCCTTAGGAATATGAATCAGTGGTGGCCTTCGATGTCCCCTAGATTATAAGAGGTGGCATCAGATCCATTTTCTGTGACTCACAGGACAGGGTAAAACTCAGAAACCATAAGGGAAATAACTTGCCAAATCTGATTATATAAAATGTGATTCTTGTGCATTAGGGGAAAACCACCAAAAAATGTTAAAATTACTGAGCAGAAAATATTTACAATGCCTAATTCAATGAACTACATACAGCAAAAAAAACCCCAGTAGAAAATGGACAAAATATAAAGAATGTTAAGAAATACAAAGAATAAACAAATGCAATGGGATAAAAAGCCATGTGATAGAAGACATTGTTTCACCTGTATTTCAGGAGTAAATTTTAAAACATCATATACTGGCAGAGGAAGAGGTAAAATGAGGTTTAAAATTTAGGGCTGGCAAAGTGAGAGGAAATGGGCCCTCCTGAACACAGTCTGTAGGTCTTTGGTAGTTATGTGTAAAAATGAAAATGTCATGATTATATGGCTGGATAGAGAGCAGGTGCTTTGCTACCAGGCCTGTGGGTTAGGCTGGGAGGAGCCCTCAAAGTTGCAGTCTAAGAGAATAGGAATTTAGGACTACAAATGACAGAGGAGAAAACTGAGGCTCAGGCAAGAGAAGTCACTTCTGAGGACCACCTACTCAGCAGCAGACTCTGTCCTGTGGTTGGATGGACACCAAGGAGACTGTAGCGTATCTTCTACTTCAATGGAATCTTTTACCTCTGCCACTGGCCATGTCACTGTTCTCTGGAGGGACTGTTCCAGGGATGGGCAATCCTGAGATCCAGCTTAGCCTATAGTTCTGAACCCAGTTCTGAGGAGGGACAGCCCTGAACTGCCAGTTCTGCTCCAGCTTCCTGAAGGTCCACCTAGGGAGACTGGGGGCCACCACCCCAACCCCTCCCTCATGTCAGCGACTGGCCCTGCCTTCACCTTCAGGTCTCTGTGCTCCTTCTTGTCCACTGTCCTCTTGACAGGAGAAGAGAGGTGGGCATGCAGGAGCTTTCTTGACCTGGTAGGTGATCTAAGGTCATTTTATCTTTATTCCTGGACTGAGAGAATCCCCACACCTACCCCAGCCTCAGGAGCAACCCTCCCCTCCCAGAGTTTGGACTGTTCTCTCACCTTGCACCCAGCTCCAAAAGCAGCTCTCAACATTCTATGTCTTCCTCCTTGTCTTTGTTTTTCTGCTTTTCCTTTTCTTCAATTGTAGATTTCTGCGTCTCTTTCTCTTTTACAAATCTCATTTGTAAAAAAAAAAAAAAATGATCATTGCTTTGTAATATATTGAGCTGTTAGATTTTGGCATTAAGAACTTCAGATTTTCTGAATTCTAAGGTATTTTAATTTTTTTTTCCATTTCACTTGTTTCCTTGACTTGACCAATGATCAATTTCCCCCAAGAAACCAAGGAGGACAGAGGATAGGCCAGCGTATATTTCAAGTGATGAATGAAAAGAACTGTCAATCTAGACTCCTGCATTCCATGGAAACATTCTTCAAGAATGAAAGGGAAATCAAGATGTTCTCAGTGGAGACAAATACAGAAAAGAATTTGCCACTAGAAAACTTTTCTTAAAAGAACAGGTAGAGGAGCTCTATAATTGGAAGAGAAATGATTCAATAAGAACCTGGGACACAAGGGAGGAAGAAAGAACAAGGGGAAGAGAACAAATATAAGTAAAGACATCAAATTCCTTTGCCTCTTGAATTTCCTACATTTGACATTTAAGCAAAAATTATAATACTTTCTGATGTAGTCCTGAATGCACATACAGGAAATATTTTGGACAATTTTAATATGAATTTAGAGGGTAAGGATCATAAAGTGAGGTTAGTTTTCTATACTGGACTTGAATTGGTAAAAATGCCAGACTCACTAAACTGAAAAAGTTACATAATGTAATACTTGAATAGTTGCTGAGAAAACTATACAGAGGGATGCACAAAAGATTATAGGAAATAAAAATGGAATTAAAAAAATTCAAGTAGCCAATCAGAAGTCATAAAAACAAAATAGAAAAAAGAAAATCAGAGCAAATACACAGAAAAACAAAAAACAAAAACAAAAACAAAAAATAAAGTGGTAAGTCCTAAATAAACAAAACACTCATACCAACAACAATGACAAGGAGAGGCCAAAGGGAGGCAAGAACCAGTGGGAAAGTGTTTTCAGCACCCAAAGTTAGATGAGTATGAGAAAGGAAAAAAAAAAAAAAAAAAAAAAAAAAAAAGAAAGAAAATGAAACACACACATAAATTAAAGGAAAATTATAATCCATAGTCTAAAATAACTATACATGAGTTCATGCAGATATAGTGATCAGATAAATAAATGAGTGGAAGGAAAGAGACAAACCTTAGATGTAGAAGAATTCCAAATAATTTATATAGATATTCCATTCTCAGGAAAATGCAGCACAACTCCTCACTATATCTGGCGTTCCACATACAGTGCTCAAACTTCCTTCCAAGGAGTGCAGGATGATTGGGTGGAGGTGGGAGAGAGCAACTTGACACCTTGGAAACCTGTCAATCACTTCCTAGGAAATGGAGGCTTACATTAATAGTGATGCGTGATGCTGACTGCACATTTAGTTGATAAGATGTGATGAGAAAGGTACTTATTTCTGTCGTTTCCTTCCTCAAAGTCACAACTCCAGTCTAATCTTACAAAAAACATCAAACAAATCCAAACTGAGGAATGTTCTGTCAAATACATGACTGGTGTTCCTCGAATTGTCAAAAAACATCAAATACGATGAATGAGATCATTCATTTGAGATCATTCATTCTCATTCAGATGAGAAGCTGATAGAGTCAAGAGGAGCTGAAGGAGGGGTAAGGATAAAACATAGTGGGCTTCTGCGAGGCATCCTGAAATAGGAGAAGGATAAGGAGTGAAAACTAAGGAAATCTGAACAAGGTGTGGACTTAGCTTAATGAGAGTATGTGTCAACATTTATTCATTAATTGTAACAAAAGTATCATACTAATAAAGCAAGATATTGTTAATAGGGGGAAATAGATGTGACGCAAATACATTATCTTCACATTTATAAATATAAAATATATTCTAAAATAAATGTTTTATCAAAAATAAATGGGCAGATGTCATAGTAGATAAACAAATACATTAAATCTACTTATTATAAAACACAGATCAAAATAATGCATAAAATATAACCAAACTATGTATTATTTAAAGGAAGTTCACTTCAAATGTCACAATATAGCTAGATTGAAGTAAATAGATCTAAAAAGATATATCATGCAAACGATCAAAATAAAGTGTGCGTGACTCTACTAATAACAGATGTACATCAAAGCAAAGAATTATCTAAGAGAGGGGATATTATCTGATGATAGAAGAGTCTATTAAGAAAATGTAGCAGTCTTAATGTACAGTCACCTAGTATCAGGGATACAAACTATGTGGAGCAAAAAGTGATACAACTCAAAGAATAAACAGACAAATTCAAAATTATAGTTGGAGATTTTAACAGTACATCTCAACAACCGGTTAAACAAATAGTTGGAAAAGCAACAAAGACAAAGTTGGAAAAATTCATCACTACCAGTCAACAGGGTCTAATTGACATTTGTGGAACACTCCACCCAACCACAGCAGAACACAGATTTTTCAAATTCCCACACACATACCAATGTAGATTATGTCCTAGGTTCGAAACAAGCAACAGTATATTTAAAATAATTGGAATCATAGTATGTTGGTTGATCATAACGAAATCAAAATAGAAGTCAAATACTGGACAATAAGAAGAAAATACCCAAATACTTGAAAACAATACTACATAACAACATAGAATCTCGAGCAAATAAAAAAATATACATTAGACAAAAGCAAATGAGAATGCAGCATGTCAAAAATTGTGGGGTGTAGCTAAAAGAAAACCCAGAGAAATCACATGCTTTCACTGGAAAGGAATAAAATTCTAAAATCAATAATCAAAATCTTATCTTAATAAACCAGAAAAAAGATCAAAGTAAGCTCAAATCAAGCAGAAGGAGGGAAATAATGAAGATAAAAGCACAAATTAGTAAAATTAAAAGCAAAACATAGAGAAAAATCAATAAAACTAAAAGCCACTTCTTTGAGAAGATCGGTAAAATTGACAAACCTCTAGGAAGACTGAAATGCCAGTAGCAGCAATGAAATAGCAGATATCACCACAGATGCTAAAAGCATGAAGAGGTAGTAAGAAAAGTACTAAGGACACCTGAGAACATCTCTACACAGATCGATTTTTACTATCTCAACAAGATGTTCCAATTCCTTGAAAATCACAAACTACCACAACTCATCCAGTAAGAAATAGATAATTTGAGTAGCGCTAGAATTATTGTGGAAAATAAATTCATAATATAAAAAAAGAAATCCAAAAAGTAATCCCTGGGTTCAAATAGATTCACTAGAGAAAGGATGACAAATTCATTCTTCACCAAATATTTAGAAGAGAACTAACAGAAAAAAAATAATAAAGTGAATACTTTGAACTCATGTTTTTGAGAAAAGCAGAACATGGTACCAAACTAGATAAAGCAATACAAAAATAAATAAAGAAGTAAATAAAGAAGCACTGCAGACCAATATCCATCATAAAATAAATCGGCAAAATTACTAAGGAAATGTTAGTAAATATAATATCATAAGACATACTATGATCAAGTGCGCTTTATTCTGTGGTTGCTAAGTTATTTTGATATTTTAAAAATAATTAATGAAATCATATTAATAAGCCAAAGATGAAAAGAAAGTAAATGGTATATCTACTAGAAAGAAAAAAAACTGCCAGTGTTTGCAGATAGCAAGATAGAAAATTGAGTTAATCATACTGTCCTATAACTAATAGATTAGTTCCATAAAGTCTCAGGATACCAGATCAATATACAAAAATCAACCCCTTTCTAGCAGTGACTCTTTCAGAAACTGAAATTAAAACATTATTTCATCACCAGCCTGCCAATCAATCAAACAACCAAACAAAATACCCACAACTTAGTTGAAAACCCAAGTATAGAACTCTTATGTAATAAACTACAAATTGCCAATTCAAGAAATAAAAAAAGAACTAAATAAATGAAGAGATATACCAATGTTCATAAGTTGGAAGGCTCAACATAATAGTTATGTTAATTGTCCTCAAATTGATAGGCTTACTAAAGCAGTCATTTCTTCCTGCACTGACTATATTTCTAAGGTACTAAAGAACCTGACAGCAACTTCCTGCCTGACTCTCACAAACCTATGTTTTAGAATCTTCTGGTACAAATGATTATGAAGAAGAGGGCAAAGTGATGGCTCCATGTCACAACTTGTAAAATGTTCCCAAAGCAAAATAGCCAGAGAGATAAGGTGTTCCTGCTCAATAAATTTATTTAAGCTGAGCCAGGAAGCCATTTTATAGAGGTGGCTGTGACTGAGTTTATGCAGGACCTGCCAAGATTTCTACAATCCCTGAGAGTGAGTGGTAGCCTGAAATATCATCACCATCATTATCATCATCACTATCTCTGTTGGTATTTGTTGTGGCCTCCTCACCTATGATAACCACTAAAACCACAATGCTAAGAGAGCTTACATAAATTGCTCACATTCACACAGATTGTTAAGGAGCCTCATTAGAATTCAAACTCATGTTTCCATGACTACAAAGCCAGTGACCCAACACCAACAGAATTTATAGAAACATATTTGCATTTATTTTTATCTTGTATATTTCTCCTTTTAATTTCTATTATCTAACTTAATTTACAGGATATTAACATGCTAATACGTAAAAGTAATTAATAATTAGGCATAGGAAGTGAGAGTTTCATAGTTTTGCTTCTTTGGTATATAAAATTGGGGAAATGTCTCTAAACTCTCTTCTGCCATTTCCGTATACTTATACAGCTCAGCTGTGTGAGTGATCCATCAACACTCCAGTGATGTCATAACTCCAGTGTGCAAGTCTGCAAATGAGAAATCTAGACATTGTGATTAAATGGTTCTTCATTTCATTTTTTTTCCAAAATGTGTGTGTTAACATGAAATAGAACAAATTTCTGCACCTACTTGTGAGTTCCTGCTGTAGAGACTTCTCCTATCTGAGTTGTTCCTTTCAATATTTGGTGTGATTAATCGTGGGGGCAGAGCCCATACAAAAAACAACACACTGTTTTGGCATCTCTCCTATGAATTCCTAAAGCAATGAAAGTCAGAAAAACATTGTCAGGATAGGGTCATAATAAAAGGCCCTATTGAATGCTGTTCTCCTGAGCCTGTAAATTCAGTGAAGTTTATTGTTCTGATCTTGAGTCCACAGATTATGCTGCTTGATTTAAGGCACTAAAGAAGCAGTCAGTTTGAGCAGCAGTAAAATTTCTGCAGAATAAACAAACTCATAAACTGGCACTCTGCACCTCCTCATGCTGCATTATTTCCCCCTGGTTGTTTGACTCCAAGATGATAGCGGTAAAATGACGCAAGGCACAGACTGACTTCCAGAACTTAAAAAAGACAGGATTCACATTTAGACAGTATCTCGCCTTGTGATTTGAAATTTTCACGAAATAGTTTGATGAGTGAGCACTTCCTGTGATGATAAACACCAGGGTCCCAGAGTGTATTTACTGGTTGGGGCAGTTGTGCATGCCATCTGTGAGAAAGTACCTTTCAAGTGCAGTTATTACCACTGGAATACGCTTTTCTTGGCTATTGCTGCAACAAAATGAAAATTATCCAGGTAATTCCTGGCTGTAAGAAAAAATTCTTGTGTGGACGTGGCACAATAATGTGTTGTTGTTCTGTATCTTCCCTTTATCTCCCCAGCACCCCTTTACTTTTAAGCAGTGCCTATTTAGAATTTAGTATCTCTGTAAAGCTTAGAATTTTCTCATCTTCTGTAAAAGCCAAAATGATTTGGAGAGAGATTGTAGATATCCCAGAAGAGGTGGGGTTACCAAAAAAAAAAAAAAAGGGAGAAAAATAAGTAAGAGAATGTTCTAATAGAATTGCATCCAGCATTTTGGCTGTGAAGAAGATCAAGTTTACTAGACTCAGAGCCCAAGTATATCCACAGTCCATCTTAAGATTCTGTGTCAAAGGAGCACCAGAGCCACTGTACCTGAAGGGACTTTATGTGTCCAGGGCAAAAGGCTATGTTGGTGTTATACAAACTGAGTTGGAGGCTGGTGACATAAAT